GACTGTACGTTTACACGCGTTTTTTCAAATTCTTGTCTGCCTGGGTAGTATGAAAATACTTTCGAAACTTTTGAATAGATGAATATTGATATAGACATTGTGAAGGTAATTAGAGATCTATTGTCTCTAGGACATCGAGTATTATATTATAGTAGTGGAAAAATAAATCAGGCAAATGATACAAAACATTTATAATGTCTGGTACACTTTTAGATTACAGAAAAAGAACAATGAATAAAAAAACAAAGGTTGATATAGGTCAAGTTATTCCAAAATATGTTCTGTTAAAAGACTTTGAATAAGTACAAAAATATAATCAATATATATTTTGAACCTTAGTAACACGCATTCGACTATTATTAATATAAAGAACAAATGACTTATTCACTCGACTATACATAATTTATTATCTTCTGACGTTATTCTAGTCAAATAAACACAATCTATTTTATTACTTTTTACAGCTACGCATCGATTCATTTTTTTGTATGGAAATTTAATGTAATAGCAAATAGTTTTACTTTATTATATATCTGCATGTATAGAAGGACGACTACACATTCAATGATGATTAATTCTTTTATATATTAATATTATCAAAGTCAAAGGATGCCATCGTTAAATATAGATAATACGACGACGGCAAATTTCGATAGCACAACACTACTAATGACATTTGAAAATCCATCCAAGTTTACATTTATAATGCTCGTCATATCGCTTTTTACTTTAAGTATTGGTTGTACTATATTTATACTTTTTCATATTGGTCGAATTCATTCACGACATTAATTTTACCAATTTTTAGAATTCATTTTTTTGTTAACGATTTTTATTTCAAGTTAAATACAATAAATATTCAAATGTATAATTATGGATAACAAAGACATGAATGTACCTGACATTTTGATTTAAAAAATAATCGATGCGTCGTTATAGTTGGTGAGAAAATCATTTGGGATAGATACTTTTTCATAAATTCTATATTTATATTCGATCAATGTTACCTAGCAGTTATTCGTCCTATTTCTTGATATACTTAGAAACTAGGAGGATATATTTCACTCGTGATTTACGTACAAAAAAGACTTTAGGCCTACCCAAGCAGACCAGGATTTTGGAGAAACGCGTTTAAACGCTCAATCGGGAACCGCGATTGTATCTCATTCACGCTCGAAAAAAACACACTGTTTTATCGATTTTTGGCGTCTTTTTCTATTTAATCTCTAGTTTTTGAACGTGAAAGCGACAAAAAAATCCAGTTTTTGAGCCTTAAAACGTGCTTTTACTTGTGTAGTTTTCTGCAATCTGGAAGCAGTGCATTTTAACGTTCAAAAACTATAGATTATATAGAAAAAAAACGCCAAAAATCGATAAAACGGCGTTTTTTTTCCGAGCGTGAATGAGATTCGATCGCGGTTCCCGATTGAGCGTTTCTCCAAAATCCTTATCTGCTTGGGTAGATCAAATTTAGATTTTATAAGACACGAGTTACATTCAAGTCTAAAGATACCTAGTGCTTATTTTTAAAACCCATTTAAACTCTACTGAAATACTATAGATAGTTTGCTCCTGCTAGCTGCTCATCACGTATTTGAACATTCTTGTTTCAAACGATGAAAAGAAATGCTCCAGAATAAAAATATTTATTTTGTATTTTTCATATATAAAATAAAAATTATCTTGATAATACTGTTATAAAATTTATATTTTAAATAACAGTATTCATTTCTGTGTATAAAGATTTAACAAAACAAGATATAATCTTTAAATAAATTCATAGAAACAAAAATCCGTTTTTTTAATGAACACGGTCAATAAATTGCATTGGAATATTAAGTTGTGACATAAGCTTCGGTTGTGTTACCAAACAAGTTCGATCAGAAAGACAATTTAGGAAATGATTCCAACATAATTCACTCAGCTTAAGTACTCGACTATGCATTTTATACAATGTCGTAATACGTTCTTCATCATCATCTCCTGTTGGTTCATGCACAACACCTCCGTGTGACCATATTTCACCGCGCTAAAATATGATTAAGTTTTTTTTATTTAAAGATATAACATTTGAACAACTACGAAAAAAAATCATTACCTTATTCATTGCAGCAGCATGAAAGTAAGTTGGTTTTACCATACTTAATGATGGTAACATAGACCATTCCAATTTCGAAAAATCGAATACCCATAAATTTCCACTGACAGGACCATGACGACGCATATTATGATCATAATTAGCACCACCAAACATAATTATTTGATTATCACGAAATGGAAATATCGAATGAAATTTTCTTGGAGTAGGAAAATCTAAACAAAAATATAAATTTATTTTTCTGAAATACTAAACATATTTAAATAGCAAAGAAAATCGCGTTTTTCAATCATTCAAAATCCTCTTTTTTATTTAAATAATCTGAGAAACTATATAAAACAATTCGATTTCTTCTTAAATATCTGATATCTACACAAAAATCTCATCTAGGCATAACCCAAACCCAAACTTAAACAGTTTGGGTTTGACTTTGGGGATTGAGTTTAGGTTTGGGTCATATGTAATCCCGTCTAACATATTAAATATACACTTACTATGAAATGGATCTGGATTAGTATGAATAAATGACCATGTATGCGTCGTAAGATCAAACATGGGCAACTAAAAAAATGAAATTTTCATTGAGTAAAAGAAATAACGTATCTAGTTTTATTTACTTACATCTTCAAGTGAAAATGGCGTAGCAATACTACTACCACCACCAAATAAAAATATTTTATCTTCATACAAATATGCTTCTTGTCGATATCTTATAAAAATATTAGAATTAAGAATTTGATTTTCCCATAAAAATTATTTTTACCTTCCATTGCCATCAAAAAACTCTTCACTCTCATCAAATGTATTTCCAATTTTCTTACATTTCATTGTCGGTAAATGAATTTCATATACATCTGAATTATAACGCCAAGCATTTGTACCACATAATACATATAAATAATCACCTTTGATAATCATACTCTTATAAAATAAAAATGATTGATTTTTATTGAACAACATAAAATAGAAATCTTACTGCTCCATAAACTGGTTCCGGTTTTTGATCAAGTAATGTACATTGTTTCCATCGACGTAGTTTTAAATCGAGCATATATAATTCCCTCGAAACATTATGTCCAAATGGATATCCTGTGCCGCCAAAGACAAGAGCGATATTACGATATACACACACTTAAATTAAAAGAATAGAAAGGTATTGATTAATTAAAATAAAAGATTATTTTACGAAACTTACTTGCATGAGAAGCAACTGTTAAATCTGGTCCATTTACTGTTGTTGTTTCAAGTGTCCATCGTTGAAGAGCAAAATTAAATCTCCAAAGCTAAAAAACAAAATCAATTCAAATCGATTGAAAACAAAAATTATTAATCATACCTGATTAAACATACTTGGTTCTTCATTATCAATAGATGGATGATAACCACCCCATATCCAAAAATCGGATTCAGTTGCAAGAGCACGATGACCTGAGCGTGGACTTGGTTTAATTAAAGAATTCAATGGTTCTACTTCAACAAATTGCATTAAATTAATCGATGAAGTATAATTTGGTAATACATAAGCACATAGTTTTGTTCGTTTGTTAGTTGTTGTATCATCCATTCCTGGAGAATCTGATTCGTCTCTTTGTTGCATGTGATTGGTTTCTGAATCGTTTGACATTATCAATGAAGATCACCAAGAAAATATATTATTATCATTGAAGAGAACAAATTACTTGTAATAAATATATGACTAGAAAATAGAAAGATTACTTTTAATTATTGTTTAATAAATATTTATGATAGTAAATGAAATATTTTTGATTTTACTAATATCTCGATTTAAATTGCATTTATTAGAACTATTTGGTTTCATTTTTCACCTCTACTATTATGTAGACATATAATCTTATTCTTGTAGTGTCGTAGGAGGGGGGGGCAGAGCGCGAGTCAGCCAACATTGGGAGAGGGGGCGTAGCATTATCTTTGGTAAAAAACCTAAGAAGATTTGCCGATTTTGTTAAGCAAAAAATAGAAATTTTCGAAGATTGGGGGTGGGGGTGTGACACCTCCCCTGGTCGCGATACCTCGGAGTGTCGTATTTGGAAAATATCTGACATTCTGTTTTTTTCATTCGAAATATTAGAGTTCTTATGATGAAGAAGTGAGACTCATATTTTCTTTCATAACTTCAACTAAAGAAAATAGACATATCAATATAACTTAATAAGACCTACTGTTATCTGTTTTAAATTTTGATGACTAAACAAAAGAAAAACTATTATCTGTATCTCATATGTCTGAAAATTTGATATTTTAAGTATGAGATAAGCGATAGTTTGTATATGATAAGAATAATTCTATAATCAAAAAAAAATTAATAGATGATTTATATACTGTACCTAGTAGATATGTTGCAGAATGAGAATGATATCACAATAAAAACAAAATCTAAAAACAATATAACGAAATAACAATCAAAATAAATTCTCTCAAGATGTTTCATGAGTATAACCAGAAGCTATACCAGTTCTTCCTTCTTTAAGTTCAGCAATAGGATTTATTTCTTTTTCATCAGTGTTAGTATTAGTATCAGTTATTTGTAAGCCCCACCACATACGACCATTATCAAGTCCTCTATTCATTCCATCACGTTGTTGTAATAGAAGAGAATTTGGATTTTTAAGTACTAATGCATGATTATCTTCAGTTGAATTTATTAATTCATTCTCATCAATATTTTTCATTGTTGATAAAATTTGTCTTAAATCAAATGAATAAGTTATTGCTAAATTTTCATCAGTTTGTTCAAATGCTTGTACAATATCAGCTAAACTAATTAATGGTATATTAAATTGTCTATGTTCTGGTGAAAGCCATAAAGTTTCGGAACATGATGAACAAAGTACATAAGTATCAATATTTCTTTCGAAATTATTCATTTTTGTTATCGATAATGTATTCATTAAAAATGTATAATATTGTCGATTATTTTTATCAAATAAATGTTTGATACGATCAAGTAATGTATGAATAGTTGATGGAAGATTTAATAAAGAATTTGAAGATATAAGTAAACCATATGATGAACCATTTCGTGCACATTCTATTGCATACATACGTTTACTTAAGAGTTTACTACTAGATATTGTATTCGTTGGAAATGAACTAAGAAAAATGAAATAGAAATATAATTCAGAGAAATTTCAATTTCAATTACCGAAAATCATAAGCATAGAAATAAAGAGCGAAGTTATGTAATGATGCTTTTGAATGAGATATGAAAATGATTGAATAATTCGATGGATCAAGCGGAACAGGTAGTTGTACTGAACGGCCATAAAGAGAAAACGATGATGAATCAACAGGATTTTGTAGGTTAATTTTAGAGAAAATTAAACGAGAAGATGTTGTTGCTGTTGTTGAATACTGTTCAATAGCATCACGGTAACATGGATCATAGAAAACAAGACAATAAGACTTGTCACTATCACTGTTTGTTGAGAGAAAAATTGAAGCATCTTCCCTAATTAAAAACAAAAGAATTATTTCGTTTTCCATTTTATATCTTGTAGATATAATAAATCAAAAAAACTCTACATCTGGGATTACAAGTATTTTTACCCTATAGGATTGAATAAACGATAAACCGAATAACTGTACTCTAATTCTACATCTAACTCAGAAACAGATTTATTTGTAAATCCCATTCATATGATGCGAAAGATACAGATGTGTTATGATAGCAGAGTATTTCTCTCATAAAAACCTATTCCGAAGTAGATATTCATTTTAAAACGTAATTATTCTACTTGAATAGAGAAAACATACGGTAATGATTGTTGATAGAAAACATAGAATACGGAAATTGCTTGTTGATTATCATCAAAAGATGATGATGCAAGACATGAATGTCCAAAATGAATTAAACCTTGTGCTTGAGAATATTGAGTATTTAATAAATCATTACAACATGGTGAACATCCATCACCAACAAGAAAGAATTCTATATTCTCAATATGAACAGATGATGTTAAAGTATCTATTAAAACTTGTACTTTATCAAGATCTTCATCAGGTATTTGTAATGCAACAATATTAAAATTATTGCTTTCAATCCATTTTACACAAGACTCAATTTCAAATTTATCCATCTGAAATACATCGAATAAAGAATAGATATACATATATAGTGTTTTTTATTTCCTTTTTTTTTTTGTTTGATATACAAAATCAAGTGCTACATACGAACGATTAGAACAACGAGAAAAAGGAAAAAAAATTTTTGACGGAAAAAAAAAATGTAATGTTAAATGTTTTTGATCTGACTTGAACAAAAAAAAAATATTTTTCTTTATTTTATTATTCGATTGTTGTAATGATGATCAAGATGGTCGAGGTCGTTTATTATTATTATTATTATTCGGATCATATGATTGATCATAACTACGTTTATCATTATTTGGCATTAATGATGGTGGACGAGAACGATTATACGGTGCTTGTTGATGAAAACTATTTGCTGGTGGTGGAACATTACCATAGTGACTACCATGCTGTTGTGGTTGTTGTTGTTGTTGTTGAGAACCATATGGTGGTCGATTCGATGCAGATGAAGGTGGTGGTAGTGGTGGTTGTTGTTGTTGAGAAGCATGATCATATGGTTGAGGAAGAGGTGGATGCCTTCGATCAAGATCTAAATAAAGAAAAATAGTTATTTCATCTCTAAATATGATTGTAAGTAAACCCCCCTCCATAATAAAAGACCC